ATCTTGGAGGTTGAAAGTAACAGCAGATACAGGAAGTACAAAGAATCAGCTCATATGGTATGTTCATCCAATCCGATCAGCCAAACCAGTTTGGATATCTCTCCCACATGGATCCCCTCATCAATGAAGAGGTTAACAAATCAAAAATGTAATTTTATGAATATTAGTGGCTTCCACTACTCCTGCAAGTTTTGTTCCGGTATTAGTCTGATTCCCGGAAGTCGCCATGGTGGCACGATTCTTTGTCCATGCAGATTAGGCATGCATTATCCAGTTTTTACTTTCGTTTTTAAATGAATTCATGGAATTTAACCTATACTTCTGTTTCTTTACATTGTTGACAAATGCATGCTTGGCACAAATTTTCTATCATGTTTTAACTGTGATTTTATTCTTTTCTCCCAATGATGGAACCGGTTGTCGGTTCTTCATAGGTTGGTTTTCTACAGACCGGGATTTGTCCAGTGATTGATACTAGCTCTTTATAACGGGCCCAACTGAGTAGGTTTATCTTTCCCTATCCACCTGAAGATGGAGACAGATCCAGTCTCAGAAACGTCGTGGTCTTTTACATACCAGACGATGGGTGAAGTCCAAAATAAGCAAAAGAAGTACAGCATACAACATTGTCAGAATCCTTTCAAGTCTATCTAGTATGTTCATATTAGGAACACCCATTGCTTATCTGGTTTTAGCCTACTTTCCTTATTTTTAAAAAATAAAAGCAGTCTTATGAGATCACCTTGCTGTCTGCATATCTGTGTCTTTTGAATGCCTGAACCAAACTTTATGAAACCTGGTACCTGAGCGCACCTAAACAGCTCACTTCATAAATTCCTACCATCAGTCTGTGTGTCTTTATCTGTATCCCCCTTGCCATTGCTAGGCAACAGATCAGCAAACATGTTCCCATGGCAATAAATACACGCACCAGTATAAGAATTGTTACAGGTATAGCAAGTGTCACGTAACTTTGAACAAGGCCAAGAGTAACCTTGAATGCGCAGAAGAAAAATTTCAGATGAGAGGGTGGGTTCGAGGGTGTGAGAAGTGATAGGCAGCCAGTTGTTTGTAAGACAGAACGAGTGTTAAGAAACTCCTCCCACCAGAATCTATGCATGGGATTTGACTAGGAATGCGGGGCCTTGTTCGAAGTTACGTGACACTGTCTATATCATTCTGTATATGGTCCATATCATATCAAAGGGAAGTAGGTGATCAGTTCTTCCCATAACTTTTTGTCTTGTTGGAGGTTTAACAGAAAATAGTTTTGTCTTACAGTTATCTAGGGTAATTTGTTTTCGAAAAGAAACTTGCATTGATGCCTGTGTTAGATAATGTGTTATGGATTATGTTTATAGTCTTGTTTTGGTATGTATGTGTACATGTTCCTCATGTCAAATGAGGACATCATGTTTTGCCAGCGTTTATGCTTTGTAGGCCTGCTACTAAATAAAACAGGAGGTGCATGGGAAAATAAATGGGCTAAGATGCTGGTAACAATGCAGTGTATTATAAAAATAACACAGAGATCTTCTACATGGTCCATACACACAAAATTAAAACATCACCATCACAGCAATCAACATGGGTACTATTACCCTTTAGAAAAAAAAAAAGATATAACATAGTTATCAGAATTTTAAGATCCACTTAATTTTCAAAACACTCCTTTGTACCACATAAACATATATTTGCAAACACCTGTTGATTTTTCTACTCAGTAAATTTTCAGGTCATCAGCAAATAACAGAAAAGTAGATGGACAAGTTTTGGTTGTATCTTCAATACAAATATTTAAAAAATGGAATCCAAAGTGGAAACTTCCAGCATGCCAAAAAGCATAGGAAAAGGGGTAGAAAATAGCGAAGAAATCTTCCCCAATACAAAGACAACAGTGTATCCAGATGATACATAATCATGGAACCAAGCAATATATCATAATGAGAGTCCAACACTGTTCCATAAGAGACTATGTCTCAAAGGTTTGACTCGAATCACGACTAGACAGCAGGTGGTGCTGTGTTTAAGCAGGTAGTTAACCAGTTAAGCATGTATATTCTGTATTGTTGTCTCTCCTGCAGGGGGTTATTAAAAGTCCACAGACATCTGTTACTGTAGTGTTTAATTTTATAATTGTTGCTCTCTTCTTTAAAATTCATTAGCTCAACCATGTGTCATTATAAAATTATGATGCAAAATATCTATAAAAGACCACTTATAAGACTTCATACATCCAAATTTTCATGTATATAACTGTTATAAATTATGTACATTTAGCATTAATCTAAAAAATTATGCCACTGTCACCACTGACTGCATTTCAGTTCCCAATATAAGATCACAAATGTATGTGTGACTCATGCACATTCACTATATGCAATCCTAACCCACCTCTGGTGTTTCAAAATGAAGCAAAATCCTGTAAGTCCAACAGAGGAAACTATCTCCAATCTAAGCATACACCCACATGCTGGATTATTGCAATATTTCACTATGACCTAAAACAGCTGTGGTTGGCTCATTGATATTGGATGTTTCTTATAGCTGGATGTGCTCAATTTATACTTCTCCCCAAGCTCAGGGCTACCGTCTATGACTGAACAATGAAACAGGGACTATTTGTTCTTCCAAACATGGACTGCAAAAGCACTATCTTATACAAACTATGACATAATCATTCAAATGATTATACTACCTGCAACACTGTTGCAACTCCAGTGGCATATACTGTGAAGGTGTTTATAAATGTCATGTATATAAGTGACTATTGATGGGATTTGGATTGGTAATTGGATTTATAGACCACTTACAGAACGTAACTACCAGAAACTATAGCACTATCACTAATTCACACACACCTCAATTCACTACAGCAAGCACTAAGCTAAGCCTTTGCATCTGCCATCTTCACCAAAGGTTGCCTGGCAATGGCTACAATAACATAGCTTCCTCAGCTTCTAATAGAAACAGCTAACGACTGAAATGCAGCAGTCCCCTAACTGACTGCTCACCAATCAAATCACTTTACTCCACTGCATTTACTAACTGAACTGAGCTCAGTCGGTTGAGTCATATATCCTTGGAGCAGACCTACAGAGAACACTGCTTGCAACAAATCTGCGATTGTTGCATGACGTCATGCTTGCCATGACAGGTTCCTCTGTTGCATGTGTACGGGCCATTACCTAGCATTGTGTCTACATGCTACACTGCTCCCTCTTTAAGGCCATTTGTCCTTTCCCAAGGGCTGTCATAGGCCTCACCTTCTTTCCCCATGGCTGAATTTTCATGGTGATTACTCTCCAACTGCTCCCTCCTTACGGCCACTTGTCCTGAATGGTGCGATCTAGGGTTCTGCTGGATCCAGTATACCACATCATTTATCTGGGTGACCACCTTGTATGGGCCCTCCCAAGAGGATTGCAGCTTGGGCAATTTCCCATGTGTGCAGGTAGGGTGACAGCCACATTTTGTCAACCTTGTGGTAGCCCACACAGATGGCCAATCTATCATAATGAGTTTTCATTCAGTCACTGGCCAGCTTCAGGTTCTGGAGGGCATAACTGTATATTTCGTGTACATGGTTAACTAAATTTGCCATGTGATCGATTCTGGGTTATGCCTTGTCAGAGGTGCCCCACACAGCAGGTCACAATGCAATCAGAGTTTTCTGAATACAAGGCTAGCTGGAGTCAGGACCATAGTGTCATGAGTAAATGCCCTGTAAGCCATGAGGAAGATGGGTAATCTCGTGTCCCAGGGTGGGATGCGACAACCTTCCTTAGGTGTTCCTCGACTGTTTCCATGAAGCATCAGACTGTGGGTTCAGGGGTGTGGTGCAAAGGTGTCACAATGCTGGCACCATTTCTTGCCAGAAGTCAGGAGTATTTTTGCTGGACCTTAGTTAGTTAGTTAGTTAGGTATTGGAGAGGGTGGGTTTCCCCATGCACTTAGACCAGTATTGGTCCATTGTGCTTCCCTCTGTGATATTCTACCAGTCCCCATACCCTACCAATATTGGTGCGTGCCATGAGTCCCGACCGAGCCAGCGAGTTCGGCCTCCACTGGCTTGGTGGTATCTATAATGCTTCCCCCATTTATCAGAGGCTTTAGAGACTACTGTTGGGCGGGAAACGTCCTTGAATTTGGCTTAGTGACCTCCTTTGGAGATATGAGGTTCTTTTACGTGCTGTAAAGCTACGACACGGGACACATGGCTTAAAAGTCCCTCCCAGAGGACTTTTTACCTGAATTTTTCCGCCCTTAAAAATTTGATGACCTCCGCCAGGTTTGAACCCACGTACCACGAGTCATGAGGTGGGAACGTTACCTCTAGACTACGGAGGCCGCTTTGCTGGACCTTTCTGAGGGTCTTGTTGACACCCAAGGGACCTCCTGATGGTCTACCATGTAGTTCATTCAGCACACTGTTCACTCTGCTGAGGGAGAATTATCTGGGCTATTTTAGATTGTCCATCAGCAGATTAACAGTGGTGTTCTAATAAGCCATTCCTCACTGTGACAGATTTCCATTGGGCCCAGTATCTTCTGTACGTGGGGCTGTGGTTAGCGATGTCTTTCCATTCTGGGTGCTGCCCAGTCTCTACTTCCTCCAGAATGGGCTCTATGTCTGGTCATTCTGTTGTTCTGTTCTGAGTGGCTAGATCCCAGCCAGCTGCAGCTACTGTGGTTCATACCTGCTTGATGTCTGCCAATGCCTCGACTTTTTGGCAGTAGGTAAACTCATTTTTGGTATGCGCGTCATCGAAGGGCACCAGAATTATGGTGTTTTCAGCCTTGATAGTGCTCATAAGTGAAGCTGTGTTCTTGTAAGCGCTGAATCCAGCAGGCAGTTTGTCCCTCAAGTTTCTTAAAATTCATGAACCAGGCTAATTCAGAGTGGTTGGTACGCAGGTGGAACTCTTGTCCATAGAGGTACTTATGAAAATTTTCGTGTCCTCACTACCATAAGTAGTTCTCGTCTGGTGACGCAGTAATTTCTCTTATTCTTGTTCAGCATCTTACTGTAACAGGCTACTAATTGCTCCTATCCATTCTGTACTTGGGAGAGCACTCCTCCGATCCCAACGTTTCTTGTTGCTGTGTCCATGACATACCTCTCTCTCTTGGCTGCGGCTAAAAGGAATAGGAGCAGTAAAAAGTGCCTTCTTTAGTGTTTGGAAGGTGGTCTCCACTTCTGAGTACACTGATTCTCCTACATAAGTTTGGTCAGCAGTATTGCAATGTTGACAAAACTAGAAATATGAATGAATGCATAAGAGGCATGCCATAATAATCTGGCCTTTACAATGCAACCTTCAATATCTATTGTGCTTACCCTTTTTGATTAACCCTATATCATTCCTACACTTCAGATGAAATGTAAGACTTTGTTTATGGTGGCATCATAGTAGTCCCTTGGTTCTATAAAAAACTGGCCCAAGTGACAAAATCTTAAATAAGCTATGGCCTTACAATCACATAGGATGTGTGGGGCTGATTCAACTTTTTCCAGGTACTGTCCTCAAGTGGGGTCATTTGTCAATCCCAGTTTGAAAAGGTGTCCTTTTAGGTGACAGTTTCCTGTAAATAGTCCTATCACCTATCTTATTTGGTCTCTGTTTCATTTTAACAGATCCTTCATTCTTAAACCAGAAATAAATTGTCTGTAATACGTGCAGAGGCCCAAGAATCTTCTAATTTCGTGCTTATTCTTCGGGGTCAGCCATTTCCATATGGCTTTCAGCTCCTCAGGGTCAGTGGTTCTCCCCTTGGGTGACATAATATGCCCAAGGTACTGTACTTCCTTCTGAAAGAGTTGGCACTTCTCCAGATTCAGCTCTGTGAGCTTCAGGGAAAAGCTGGAACAACTCCACAGGTTAAGCAGGTGCTTTTGGAATGTATGGCCAATCACAATCACACTGTCCAGGTACACAAGACGAGGCCTTGTAAGACTGTCTCCATCAACCTTTCAAATGTTGCCAGAGCAAAGCAGAGGCCAAAGGGCATGACTGTGAACTTGCCACAGCCCTTGACCCATAGAGAATGTAGTCTCCTCCTTGTGGTGCTGGTGTCAATCCATTTGCCAATACCCGCTCTTCAGGTCAAGAGTGGGGAACCATTTGGCTCCAGCCCGGGTGTCCAGAGTGTCATCAATCTGTGATAGTGCGAAACAGTCCTTCCTTGTGATACTGTTTAGTTTCCTGTAGTCTACACAGAAGCACATGTCCCTGTTTTTTCTGGATAAGAACAATAGAGGATGACCAGGGCCTGTCTGTTAAATAACCTCACGTTGTTGCATGTCTTCAAGCATCTCGCCCACATCCGCCTCTTTTGCCAGGGTGAGTCTCCGTGGCTGTTAGCGAATTGGTCAAGCCTCTTCCTTATCTATTCAGTGCTACACTGTCAGTCTGTCCATATTCATTGCTGTCCTAACAAAGATGTCTCCATACTCTGTGAGGAGCTCTTCCAGCTCTCGGGATTCAGCATCACTCAGGTTCGGCCTGGTCTCTGTAATCACATGCTGTAACTTCTGGGTAGTAACACAGACATGTGGTTCTTCCACACCGGGTAGGGTTACAAGTGTGACTGGCTCACAATGTGCCAGAGGGAATCCTTTCATGAATTTCTGGTCATGACAGGTAGCATTCAGAACCCTCATGAGTACCTCCCAGCAGTCTTGGACCAGGATTTTACCCATCACCACTTCCTCACATTGTACAGATTATCATTTGATCACTGGCCACTACCAGGCTGGAAGGCTGGTTCTACCCTGGGGCTCCACAGCGATACCTGCAAGATACAGCATTTGGTGCCCTAGGTCCACAAATGCATCATATGTGTGCAGAATGTCTAGCCCATGATGCATTCATTTGCAATATTGCAACAAATACCAAAATTCTTGGTGGATGCCGCCCCAGGGTGTCAGCGAAACTTCCTCCACAATAGGGAGCTCTTCCCGAGATACCATCTGCAGCATGTCACTTTGGTTTGACTGTCTTTCACACCATCCTGCGGCAATGACGGGCCTCACTACAGTCACAAACACCCAGGTGTCAACAGTTACAAGATATGGTTTGTCACCAACCCAGCCCTGTGGGACTAGGCTAGGGTTGGCCCTTTCCATGACAATTCAGCATGTGTTAGAGAGGGCCTTAATGCTTAAGCCAGCATCCCCCCTTTTCCGCCAGCACCTACTCCTTTTCTGACAGTTGCCACCCCTCCTGTCTGTCTCTCTATGGTTTCTTGGTCGCCATTTGGACCTTCTTGCCAGTTCCCATGTCTCTTGGAGGTCTTTCATCTTGTTTCCCATGCCAGTTGTTGTTTTCTGCCTCCCTCCTGCAGAGGCAGTTACCCTGGAAGCACCCTGGCTCCCCACAGCTCCAGCACACAGATCGTGCTCCCATCCTACCACATCTTGTCATCACATCCTCTGTGCTCTAGGGCACAGACTCTCCCATAAACATGTGTAAGAAAGTTCAGCTAATCAGACATGAGCAGAGAAAGTTGAAACTCAAAATACGAGGGGAAGTCAATAATTATCCGCAATGCAGTTGTATTTGTGTTTCTGTTGCCAGCTCTGTCGTTTTGCGCAGCATCATGTGTGGTTCCTTTGTCACTATTTCTACACAGGTTTGATGTTGCTAGGTCAGTTCCATCGTCGCTGCCTTGCCGTTTATCATGGCTGCTCCGCTTTCTGTTTGCACTAAAGAAGAGCAATGTTCAGTGATCCGGTTTTGTGGTCGGAAGGTGTATCAGGGGCCACAATCCATCAAAGACTTTCAGCACAGTATGGGAACAGTGTCTTGCCGCAATGGAGTGTCTACGAATGGATTGAAAAATTCAAAAATGGTCGCACAAGTGTTACGCATGAGGAAGGAGCCGGACGACCATCCACGGCCACAAATGAGGACAACATTGAGCGTGCACATGACATGGTTTTGTTAGACAGACGAGTGACTATTGACGAAGTGGCAAATCGTCTGCAAATTAGTCATGGTTCTGCCTATAAAATCATCCACAACAGACGTGGGTTTCATAAAGTCTGTGCAAGATGGGCCCCAGAACAACTCACAGTGTTGCATAAACAAACGCACTTGGACATCTGCCAACAACATTTGGATCGCTATGGTAACGAACGTGACGTCTTCTTAGACAGAATCATCACTGGTGACGAAACATGGATCCATCATTGTGAGCCGGAGAGTAAACAGCAGAGTATGGAATGGAAACATCCACAATCGCGCAGCAAAAAAAGTTCAAAAGCCAACCATCTGCAGAAAAACTGATGCTTACAGTTTTTGGGACTCACAAGGCCCAGTACTGGAACATTATCAGGAGAGGGGCACAACAATAAACAGTGCTCGTTACAGTGAGATGCTTACTGACAGGCTAAAGCCTGCAATTCGAAGCAAACGCCGAGGACTACCGTCAAAAGGTGTTGTGTTGTTGCACGAGAATGCCCGTCCACATACTGCTGCCCACACTGCTGAAACCCTCCGGAAACTCAAGTTTGATGTAATGGCTGATCCTCTGTATAGTCCTGATCTTGCCCCTTCTGACTACCACTTGTTTTGGTCCACTCAAAGAGGCATTAAGGGGCCGTCGATTTACCTCGGACCAAAATGTGAAGGAAGTAGTGCATGCGTGGCTCGCTGCTCAGCCAAAAACCTTCTTTTCTGAGGGCATCAGGAAGCTTGTGCAATGATGGACCAAGTGTGTTGAAAAGCAAGGGGACTATGTTGAATAATTATGTTAATGTAAGTTTTCTGTTTGTATTGAAATAAAATTTATAGCTACATTGTGGATAATTACTGACTTACCTACGTATTATCATTTAAAAATATTTTGTATCCTAAGGTTAGAGGTCCATATAAAGTAGGAGTTCAGATTATCCAATATGGATCAACAGTAAATCTGCCAATATTTTGATTAAAGCCCACAATCTAAATTTCATGGAAATCCAGAGACAGGCAGGATAGTGTTTTATGCTCCAAATACAGTACCTAGTTAACCCTCTCCACTTGATGGTCACCCAAGTTCACACCATAGTAAAAGTGTCAAACTGATCACTGGCCCATCAAACTCTGTTAAATATTCAGACAATCCTATTTAATTAGGCCGCTTGTATAACTTCGATCTTAATAACTTCATGAAATATAACAAATAGTATTATCTGACATCAGACATAAGAAGCATTTCCAACATTCCTTCACAAGATATTATGTACTGGCAAAAAAAATTATTTATGTATTAACCTAACCAAACTAGTCTTTTCCAAAACTTATATGCCCATTATAAAAAACTGTTTTGACTTCATTACTACAACTGTCATAGCTGCAACAAAACAATGAGGGAACATAACAGCATATGTGATTGGTTACTGTATTGTAAAGTTATACAGTACTGTAAAATAACAAAAACTAAGTATATTAATAATTTAATGAAATTTCATCCCAATACCTGTGACTTAATGGAACCACGTGCATGTAACAATTAAAAGAGCCATATAAAGTGACCTTACCATAAAAACAGGAAAGAAACTTTATGTGTTCCCAGTCCTACACAAAACTTAAATATAAAATATGTAATAAAGGGCTTTAAAATTGCTGGCATTTCTCAACCCATTCCTACAGTACTCCTATCAGACAACAATGTGTCTCCCTGTCCCAGTTAACAATTCTTTCTTACTGCTGGCTTGTTCAATGCAGCTGCAGTTTCTAGAAATGCCTGTGATATTCTGTGACGGACATCTACATCGTGATCACCTATTTTCGGTTTAAGATCTTCTGCAATTAGTCTACAAATTTCAGAATCAACATAACCCTCCTCATTTTGCATGTTACACTGACTTGCCTCTTTCATATTAGTCTCATTATGAGATGTAATTGTGTTTTGTTGTTCTGTATGTCTTGAGCTAAAGAATGTTTTCACATCTGTTGACACCCCATTTCTGGTGACTTTCCTGCTGGACACTGTCAACACTGGCAGATCTATATAGCCATTTCCCCCGCGACTGATCTCTCTCAACAACTGCAAGATATCTGCCACTTCCATATTTCGTGGAATAACACAAGCTTCTATTTGTCTGGGCTTAAGATACTGGACGAAGTGTTCCAGCTCCCTGTATGAACAGTGGCTAGAATAGCAGATTCTGAAAAGCTCCTTACAAGCAGACTGTAACACTGCAGACTCCTGCAAGCACACCCACATCAAACATTAATATTTAACATAAACAGATTGTGTGAGCTGTCACAATTAAACAATAAATTTAAGCTTTAACCCTTTCTAATATTAGCTGTCATCTTAATAAACATTAATAAATGATAAACTGTAGTCTACTTAACACTGACACCCATGTCAATTAGTGTCACTTTTCAGCAATACACACTGGATTGTGTATCCCTTAAAATAACACAGCATAAATCTAATTAAAGATTCTGTTAAATTTTCAGTGCTCATTTTGCAGCACATCCAGTAGTGTTTGAGAATGATGTTCTATGAAACACCACTCTCCTTTGTGTAAAGCAAAGGTGTTAACCTTTTATGCAAGGGGCCACAATGAACAATAAAATATGCTACGAGGTCAAATCACTCAAATATCCATACCATAATGAAAATAGAACTTGGCATTACAAGAAAAATAAATTGCCCAGCTTTGCCTCGTCAATATGAAACTTGGGCCTGTCTTTGCTCCACAAGTTAATTACCATTTGGTTACATTTTTTAAATTCAAATTCACACACATCATACAAGCGTACATCAATTATTCTTTAAAGGAATTTCTATTTATTTTATTTCATATGTGAAAGAGCTCATCCATAAACAGGATTTCTTTTTATCATCTAATACTTCAAAATATGTTGTCCTTGTGGATGTCACTGCAGTCATATGACTGCAAAGACTTCAGGCAGACAAAGAGTGGGAACAGCTCGAAAAATCACCCTACCCAACTGAAGTATGACGGATAACATAACTCATCCAAGTAAAGTCAAAAGAGAAAATGATCTATAAATACACTGATTACTTGAGGTTAAAAGTACAAATGACTTATCAGTCAAACTTCTGCATTAGAAACCAACCACCAGCCACTTTAAAATTTATGTAACTTCTTTGTTACTAAACACAGTTATATAGAACTTCCACAGATCAGTATACCCACTTGGAAAATTTGTTTGTTGTTCACTGGATAATCAGAAATAGAGGCCATTTCTACAGAAACTTTAAACAAAGTTCTAAACAATCTTCTTCCTCCTTTGCATTAAGTTTGTGACTTCTGGGACATCACATGGGACATGTTTTAGTGTAATAAGTAAACAAATTTCCCATGTGTGAAGAATGATCTGTATAAGTTTCATACAATTGCTTTCATTAACAAAGAAATCACAAAAATTTTATAGCATCATGTTTTATATGTGTATTATATATACAGAGTGTCCCAGGAGGAATGTGCCAAACTTCGGGAGGGTGTTCCTTATGTTAAAGTATGCCGACAGAACCCAAAACACCTATGTCCAAAGTTGAATGGTTATGGAGATAATGGCCAGAAAAGTGTGAAACTTTGACCGGTGTTACACACTTGTTGATTACAAAATACATATTAAAACAGGCAGGAATATGTGGTTTCTGTAATGTTAATAATGTACGTAACATCAAACTAACTTGTGAGTGACATGAAGCCATTAAATTGAACTACAAAAAACTCGCACGCCATGTCAAAGTTGTCTTTAAGAGTTCCAAGCACTATACATGACAAATGAATGGCAAGCGCTGATGTAACATTGCTGATTGTGTGTTCTGGTATGCGAGTGTATGGGGCTAACGTGAGCTGCCATCATCACGTTCAAGTACAAACGTAGATAAGACATGCCAGCTGACAGGTACAGTGCGTGGAATCGCCAGAAGACCACACTTTTCTCGGGCCATTATCTCTGTAACCGTTCAACTTTGGACATAGGTGTTTTGGGTTATATCGGCATACTTTAACATAAGGAACACCCTCCCGAAGTTTGGCACACTCCTGCTGCGACACCCTGTATATATGGTTCAAGGAGGGGGCACATGGTAGCATAGTTGGTTGAGGCACTAGGCTACAAGACAGAAGGTCGCAGGTTCAAGTCCTGATGAGGTCATTGGATTTTTTCAATTGACCTAACCCTACCAGCCTCACTATAGCCCTGGAGTTGACTCAGCCTCTAACAGAAATGAGTACCAGGAATTAATTAAATAATTCTCCGGGGGAGTAAAGCACGGCTGGCGTGTAAGGCTGACAACCTTGCCACCATCTTTGAGCCAGTGGTCTAGGTAATGTGGGACCCTCAACATCTCACAACCCCATGTGCCTTCACGGCCTGTTACAGGGATAGCTTTGCTTTTTTTATGGTTCAAAGATGACCCAGACTACATTTTTTACAAAAGAATATTATGTCAGAATCACCAACTCACTCCTTATTCTCCCTTTACACTAATACATCCTTTCCAGTTTTATCCTGCCTTGTGTAGCCAATTCAGGACAATGCATTCGAGTTCATCTAGAGTTTCAAGGCTGGAAGGAGGGTGGTACATGATTTCCTAGTCCGCTGCTGCCAGCGCAACCTTCGGCAAATCTGCTGTACGCGGATGAGCATTTTCATGCCATATGGCAATCTTCTCTGATAGTTTCCCAGGTATTCTCTCCCAAAACATCTGGTCCACATCATTCCAAAGGAAATAAATGCAATGACGTGCATTAATTATTACATGATGTGGAAGAAAATCAACATGAACAAAGCAATATTATATTTAAGCATCCTGTTACACTCACACAATATATAAGACGGAGTTTGTCTCATATATATGAACAATGCCTTCTGAATCCCAAAACACACTTGCCATGAACTTGCCAGCTGATAGCTGTGTCCTGAATTTTTGGAATGGTAATCCTTTCTGATGCCATTCCATGATGGACCACTTTGGCTCTGGAGTGAAGTACATACACACAGACACATATCTCTCTCTCCCTCTCTCTCTCATTAGCCCATGTACACGCGCGTGCCGCCCCACACACGCACCTCAAATGACACTAAAGAAATCAACACTGTCACATATGTCATGGTTCTCATCCAGTGCTAAACAAAAGCTTCTTTTGCTTTGCTTCTGAGTTGGTTAAGCAAGTCAAAACTAATATGTTCAATATACTGCATCACTGTTACACAAAATAAACTGACAGTATTGACAAGAGTTTCTATTTGCAGGTAAATCTCTTATACTGTGTGTTGCAAACATTTTCATAAAATTTCCCTGCAGGAAAATGTTTGCTTTCTTTAGGCAGCAAGTGAGCAACATAAAAAGTTCCCTGCAATGTAAAGGAACTATCACTGGAATGTCTTCTGAAGACAGACTGTCAGGACTATAGCTCTCTTTTTAAATCCACTACTTTCCTTAGTTTCAAGAGTAACAACAGAATTTTTTCCCCCCCCCCCCCCCAGCTCTATTGTTATGCTTAGCAATTCTACGTTCTTTCAAAATTGCAATAATTTCAATACAAATTAAGCACAAAGCTTTCCAACTTGCAGGGCACAAAAACAGTTAGCTGTACACTTCCTTTGAAATAAATGACCACCATCTTACCCAATCACTCTGGGTCTTAGCCACTTGCTTTAGTGGTTATTGTTGACTCGACAATTCTGCCAGACAATGAGCATAATGCTCAAAATAAAACCAACTGAAACCACAGAGTTACACAAATACTATGATACACAATTGGAGGGTCTGGGCCCTACCCCATAAATTGCCCTAGCAGTAAGTGAAGTGACCATATTAGCAGGTGTTATGAGCAATATCTGGCCTGCAGGCCATAAGTGATCACCCCTTGCACAGAGCAACCTATTTCCTGGCTGCCATAATGCTCAGAAAAATGTTTTGTTTGTCATGATGTCCAATAGACATGTTGCGAAGACAGCCATTGACTACTGGCATCTATCAAGGACTAAATTATCTAGAAGCTTGCAAATCTAACAGTGCAACAAAGGGTTTCTTGCATTCATACTGTCATACTGTTTACTGCCAGAGAAACAGGAAATTGTCTCCCTGCCATGATTGTGATAAGTGTCACAAAATGTTGTGACCCCAGTTTTCATAAAAATGGTGGTATAACAATGAAATCTACAGGTCTGTAAATTTCAAAACTTAGTGCCAGTCCTTCGGTGACAGGGGATAAGAAAGTCAGACTCCAAGACTTGACTTACCAATGATCCATCATACACTTTAGACGTAAAGGACATAGCACAGAGTCTTATAATTCGCAACTTCATTAATTTACCCTGGCAAGGTAACATGGTTGTCTTATCACCTGTTAGGAATTTATGACCCTGGAAGCAAGACGTGGCAGGGATTAGAAAAACTGAGACATCAATTTTTTAAACAGCCTAAGAAAACAAGTTTTACCTCGTACGGCAATAAAATGACAATACTCACACAGGGTAAACAAGCATGGATTCTCGTGCAGCATGGATCATCTGTCACAGCCTCTCGAATCTCTGCTATATTCTTATATATATTATAAGCCCTGTCCTTCACATGTACCTTCATCCCAAGACACTTGGCCACTTCTATGAACACAGCTTCTGATCCATAATTTGCTGGAACAGTAAATTTTCCATGTCACTACTGAAGAAAATTATGCCAGTTGGTTACCTGTTGGCCATCAGTTACCAACTGTCAAAATTCAGATATCATTACATTTCATTTCTGTACATTTAACTACATTACTTCTTTACCCTTAATGACAAAAGGCATATATAAGGCATGCCTCTTCACATGGTAGTTTAGGTTCCATTACCAGGCATCTCAATATAAATGGCATTATCTGGTTCCTCCTGAAGCCATGAGCTGATGTGACTACAGAGAATGGATATGCTGGAATGTCTCGAAGGGAACTGCAGATACTGACGACTCAGGAACGTGGTGTCCAGATACAACTTGTCAATTGCTTTCACTGTTCCATCTAAATAGTGCAACTGACGAAGACGAGACACATCTCCTTCACAAAGACGGAAATCTCCACTGTAGAGGATCCGCCCCATTTCTCCTTCAAACAAGAACCTGACAAGCAGAATGTAAAACACATCCATTACCTTGATTTTGTCAGCAATAACATCCATCTTTGCACTACAGGAATTCCTGTAATTTCATTAATCAAAAGAAATAACATTCCACACAAAGTTATGGTATATGGTTTGATATACACACGCACATGACTGCACCAGGACAGTGTCCAGTTGGTATCAGAGTTACAGTTATATCTTCTGCTGGGCCAGTGTGACTTGGTATATTCACAATGGTTGAAACACCGACAGGCAACACTCTTATCTTATGCACAACTTCAGCAAAAGTGTTTTCTGTTGCCAAAATGTGGGCTGTAATCTCACTACAGTACAGATGCACATTTGTTTCATCAGCAAGGCGTTTCAGAAAGATATACGATCTGAGACCTTTCATATGATCTGCAAAATACACATTATTACAAGCCAGGTTGTTCAGCATTATGGAAGTTTTACAGTATATTCTTCATGAAATTCCGTCAGTAATATTGGGTTCAATTTAAAGTTACATTTCCCAAAGTAGTCAATTTTAATTTATACAAAGCCATTACTCATCTCTGAATTCAAATTATATATGTTTAACACAATCTATTCTAAGTTGCAGAACCCTTACTGTGACTGCATCTTAAAATTATAGCAGCATTATCACTGTCTGAGCGTCTGAAATGATCATGACTTATGTCTACATATTCAAAATCAGCTAATCTTTCTAAAAAGGTTACATAACCTAAACTAATAGATAAGTTACGGAAAATTAACATCAGTCAAACAAAGGCCCTGTTATAAAAAGTACATCTAAAACGTAACCTTATTATTTTATTGCTGTATTCTTGTAATATATACCTGTGTGACAGTGTGTTAAGAAAAAAGTTGTAGAATAGATATTACTATTTTCAAAACAATCTATTGAAACATTTCTCAGTTCTTCAACACGTCCCTCAAAACTTGTCATTCTGTTCCACGTTATTACATCTGTGAGGATCGTAGTATATGCTTATACGCATTTACCTTAATAAAAAATTTATTAACCGTTTTCTATTTAAATTTTAAGTTACAAATGTAACCACTACCAACTACAACAACGATCACCTTCACAGTTTCACCAACTTATGGTCGCAAACGTCGCAAAGACGTTGCTTCCAAATTGAATTTCAATCATGCTTTGCCGGCATATTTAAGGATAATTTGATGTAATAAGCTTTGATGCCAAATTGTTTACAAAATCATAGTAAATACACACACACGCACACAAGATCTTCCTGTTACGAACAAATCAGTTTAGGAACTGCGATTTTGAGGATTTTAAGATTTCATGAAACATTCGAGGTTCTCATTGCACAGACTATGAACATTACTGTTAATGGGATATGATGCCATATAGGCAGTGCTTGAGGTGGAATGAAAATAGAACCGGGATGGTTTTCCCCTTTTAATTCATAGGCATTTACTGCCAAAGAAGTAACGGGATGATTTTAAGCCATTTAGAAAAGAACCGGGATACCATTCCGCCGCATCCCGCCTTACCTCAGGCTTTGTTTACAGTCAAGATTCACATAAATGCCCAACCAGCCAACTACAGTCTTTCCGCACACAAAACTTCTCTCAGCATTCTATAAATATTTCCTGCCAGCTTTCAGTATCAAAGATGTATTACTGTATGTTGTTCCTGAAGGTTCTATGTTATAGGATATAATCCTGTGTAGTCTCTTGAAAGTCAACCAGCATTTCAAAGGAACAGAACACAATCTTTCACAGTCAAAGTATAAGCCAAGCTAGAATCTTAAAAGTGGAAGTTTTCATAAGCAGTGCTCTGGTACCTCAATCCTATATTTATACTCGTATATTGTTCCTGTGAAATTTGGTATATACTAAGCAAAGCGAGTAAACAGCGGTGACGTAACGCGGGACGCCGCAGTTGCTACATAGCAGTAAACAACTACCATCAGCGTTGCTAGGATATCGGCAAACAGGCAACCAGGCAACAACGAAGCGAGGCGTTTTCCCGTTGTCCGGCTGAGGGTTTATAAGAGACCTACACTGCCTACGAAGACAGTTCTCAAGACAGCAGCCTACGAGTTGAGTTGGAATCTAGCCAGCGGAGAGTTACGAGTTGGTGTGTGATACAGTGACACTTATATAGTGGTCAGAAACTCAACACGTTACATTTGGTTCATCTGTGCATACTGTGCAACTGTAATAAATATTATAGAACAGTTCAAGAAGTGGTTGTCTCTTCATATAACGTCATCCCACAGGCTTTTCAGAATTTTTGGAGAAGTCCCATCTTCAGAGCAGGAGGAGCTGTTTATTCGCAAACTGCGACACTGCTGTGTGGCATTTGACTTCATGGACCCAGTGGCTGACCTGAAGGAAAAGGAAATAAAATGAGCTACTCTGAATGAGCTGGTGGACTACATTGCAGCAGGCCGGAGCGTCTTTA